ACTCAGGCTGAGAGTTGGACATTGGGTTAACAACCTAATTCCGAAAAAAGAATCCATTGTTATGAAAACCTCATGAGAGGTCGGCCTTGTTCCGATGTCGCGCCATCGAATGAGTGAGTCTGAAACATTTTTCTAAAAAATGAATACTTTTCGATTCGACAGTTTCGAGATTTACACCTTACTGTATCAATACTTACATGTCCAATTTTAGTTAAACGTTATTTCACTATGATGTTTAGTTTTAATTATTACAATCGAGTGCAATATGGCTAAGCCGCATTTTATTTAAGAAGATATAAACAATTGCAAACGAATACCACTGATCGGATCCGGTAAACTTACAAATGAAAAACTAAAATATTGATGTATATGAGTCTAATTTCATGCGTTACCGAGAGTAAATATTTTTTTCATGTTTTAAGTATCGTTATTAAATTTAATTATTTTTTAATAATTCTTTTTGTACCATCTTTCACGAGAAGGGAAGAAACCCTTATCACTGTAGCAATCATCCTGTAAGGCCATATATTTCGTATTTAGTGTTAAGATTAAAGTAAAGAGAGATAAAATAAGAGAGTATGGCAGCGTGGTGAACGATTATGCGTGTGTGTACCGAATCTTACAAATTTCAATCGGATTCGGTCACTATTATTTGTATCGTAAAGCGATATAAAAACGAACAGACAGCATCTGATCATCTCGCCGTCGCGTTTGCGTTAAATATATAATTATGTATAATATATTAATAGTACCTACCGAATAGGCATTATATAAAGAGGATAACAAATTTATTAACGCGTGTGCGTCACGTGTGACCCGTGTGCGACGAAAGTTGTTCGCAAGTCGGTAGAAATCTAGATACATATATATAATGAATATATATATATATATATATATAAAATAAGCATATTGAGAAACAGTTAGATATCATATGTACTATTTAAAGTAACGAACAGTGAAAAATTTCAGTATATTGCAGGGTCATCTTATACATGAAATCCGTGCGGAATTTACCTATATTATGCATAGACCTTTGTTATATTCTCGAGAAAAAAAAGTAAAAGAGGTGAGGGCGATAATAAATAAGCATAGATAAAAAGAGAAAGAGAACACGCGAATCATCGTGAATTTATACACTTATGGGATGAGCAAATATATATGTATAATATATATAACTGCTTTCATGCTTATATACATTATGTATATATACTCTGTAACATACACAAGTGAATCGCCGGGGAAAACAACCGATTCATTTTTTCCTCAAAGGCAGAAACATACTTCCCGACGAAACACACACACGTGTAAAAAGAAAAGATAGAGAAGAAGTAATTTCTTTGGTCTATACATCCCACAACATTGCTAAGAAGAACATGTAACAAGGAATAAATAGAAATAATGTTTATATGAATTATTATGATTATTAATAATAACTATGATACGTTACAAGGATAAAAACTAAGAGTTGATTCATGCTTTTAAGAGGTTTAGTTTCATGCTTGTTTAAAGATAAAGATAAAGATGAAGATTAAGGGCAAGCAGTCAGGATCTAAGCGTTCGACGTTTCGAGTCGAAGAAGCGAGCTCAGTCGTACGATGCCGGCGTTATTGACGGTGTTTTGGGCATCATTGTTCTCTGCCGTCTTTTCGCGACATTACGTCGCATTTAGAATCGCAGTGCAACACATGCGCTCGCAATGCACGAACGTAATAACGGCTCGTACTTCGACTCCGAGCGAGAAAAACGTGGTGATGGAAAAAAAAGATTAAAAAATAAATATTATTTACTTTAGATAGAACGAAAATATGTATAGAATTTTATTATGCACCATTGTAATATTATGTATCCCAGTTGTGACACAATATACACTGGTGTTATGTTAAATGTGAAAATTGCGCGTACCAATTTTCTTTTGTTTTTGTGTTGTTCCCCAGTGCTGTCTTATCATATTAACGACACTTGATATTCCGTTAAGGTGGTTCTTTAGTAAAGTGCTGAAAAATATTTGGGATGTTTCTCACCCAGGGCTTACTTAAAATCACATATCTGTATAATTTGAATAAAATATTTAAACTATGTGTATTATTAATGAAATAGTGTAAAAAATACAATAGTAAATCAGGATAATTTTTGATGCTCTTTATGCATCTTAGATCGATCTTAATAATGAATTGAAGATTTGAAGGACTCTTTTATTTAATAATAATTAACACGTTAAATAGGGCGAATAAGAGTCAAATTACAATTTGAAATCTAAATCTGATAATTTAGATTTCAAATTGTAATTTGACTCTTATTCGCCTTATTTAACGTGTTAATTGATCTTAATAATGTTGAACGACATTAAAATCTGTAAATAATTAATTTCTTTTATGGAAAATATTACCTCGACCGGAAGTCGAACCTGGATCTTTAGCGTTTTGTACGAACGTCCTAAGCCTTTAGACTACCGAGGTGGCATGGAATGTAAGAGATTTGATTCGACTCCCGGCCGAGATAATATTTTTTGTAAAAAAAAATTAATTATTTACAGATTACGTCGTTCGACATTATTAAAATTAATCTAAGATGCGTAAAGAATATTAAAAATTATTCAATTTAACTCGTGATATTACTGCGGTAGTTCAGTAGAACTTGCGTTTCAAGTCTAAAAAAATTCGGCACGTAGTTAAAAAGACTATATGCATACTACGTATATTTACACGCAATTATAGAAGCACCCAAGATCCAGCTTGACTGTTAAGGCTTGTTTCTCATTGGTTTTATTTCTCACGGTCTTATAAGATTTAATATAGTAAATTAAGAGTTGCATCTTCACCAAACAAAAATAAGGTGACGTTATGCTCTCTTTTCGAGGTTGAATTTGTATGCAAGTCTATGCATATAAATATTTGTCAAAATTTCAGAATGGATGACCTTTTTTTGTGACGTTTTTTGAAATCGTAATTTTTTTAACTATTGTAATCTCGTTTATAAGTTAAAAGTTTATAATAAGATTTGTGTACAATTAGTCAAAGAAGCGCGTCTCCAAGCCCTATCTATCACTAAGTATATTATATATGAAAAGTTACATTTTCCACATTTTTTATCTTATTCTGTCGTTAACCCACCGTAAAATTTTACACACGTGTCTCTCTCTCTCTCTCTCTCTCTCTCTCTCTCTCTCTCTCTCTCTCTCTCTCAGTATTTCAACTTTATTGTATAAAAAAATTAGACATTTCTATAGTTGAACTCGATTACTAAAAAACCACCTTAAATTAATTACATCTTGTTTTCATCTAACATACATCCATGCAAATAAAAGATCGTTGAATCTGTTTAAAAAGTATTGTACAACATGATAGGAAGAATAAGACGTTTGTGTACATGGAAAAAATGTGCGACATTTTTATTTCCTATTTTAAGAATTGACACTACATCTCTTACACATTATTTTCTATAAGGAGATTAGGGTAATTGTCCCGATTACTGTTATTTTAAGCATATAGTAGTAATTGATATGCTTATTTTGAAGTTTCAAGATATACGTATAATAGAGACACCAATTTTAAAATTAAAACTTTACTTAGTAACTTTTACTTAAAGTAAAAACTTTAATATACATAAAATAAAAACACCAAGTTTGAAAACTAATTATTTAAATATAATGAAAAAATAGTTTTTGTTCAAATACTACACCTTCATTTACTGCACACTGTATCAAAATCGTCCTGTAAATAACTCTTATTTATGATCGATTTTCTTTGTCGTTAAAAAATTGAGTTACTTCTTTCTAACATCTCTCCCAGGCGTCTAAGGTAGGCTCCCACTACATTACCTTACTGATGAGTCCAGTAGTGGAAGCCGGGACGAAACGCTAACTCGTGATATTCTTCACAAATTTCTTATTTCTCTCAGTTTTAAATTTATTTCTTTCTTTAATATTTAATTTAAGATTTTAATATGTCTTTAAACATATTATTAAGATCTTGTTAGATGCTATAAGCATCAAAAATTTGTGATATTACTACGGTAGTTAATAGATTTGCGTTTTAAGTTCGACGGATGTTCGGCGCGCAATGGGGGGGGAACTACTTACGTGGTATATAATATTCACATTCTAATATCTTATATATGGTCGCACCAATAACCGCGGAATAGCTCTCATTAGCCTGATTTTCTTGTTATTTGAAATTGAGTTTCGATTAAAAATATTAGTTATTTCTAAAAATTTTAATTAGAAGTGTACTTATGTATATTTATTTACATTAACTAAATTAGATGAAGAAAGATATCTAAATTAATCTTCAACATTCCAAACTAAATATATGCATTAATCATTGTATAGAGAAAAAAATATCTTTAAAATACTTAGAGATGCCTACAGCAATATTTACCACATTGTTCATTAAAGAAAATCACTTAAGTTTCTTTAATCAAAGACAGCAAAGTTGATAGTAATTAGCGCACTGGTACATATATTCATGCATAACAGGATTTTCATTTATTGTTGGCAGTAATGCAGACAAACCTTAAATGATTGCCCCTAATACTGCCATTTCAATAAATTAAATAAACAAATAATCCATAACTTTTTTATGCTTATTTTATTTAAATATTTAATTATAAAATTGTTTTAGTATATATAAAAAAGTAAAAATACCACGTTTGCTTGCACTTTCAATCATGCAGTTCCACTTCACTTATAATTAGAAAAACATGAAATTTGCATCTTCAGCGATATTCCTAATTTCTTTAATTATTTTATAAATGTAAAACATCGAATATCTTATACAATTGTGCTTACATTTATATATTACTTATTAATATTATTAATATAATTATAATTTAATATTAATAATATTAATAATATTTTTAATGTATAACAATCTCTTTTAATGTATTTCATCTATTAAGTATAATGTTGAAAGAGTTATAAAGTGGAATTGGGATAGTTACCCTATTACAATTACTGTTTTTAAACAAGTAACACTGCTGAAAAGATGAATTCTGTAGCGCTGTGTAAGTAATAGGATAGTTGTAGATCAGACTCTGCTCCTCTTCTTGTTTCATTCGAAATTTGTTCAAATTTTTACGAGCTGCACAAAGAAAATCAATTTTATTCTTTCACACGAAACAAAAATTGACAATATTGATTGTCATATTTACTCTCGTTAACGAAGAAATTGGCGAAATATTGAGATATTTTAATAGCATTAGTTCCGTGAGGAATATTCTTTCCGGTTACCCATTCGTAAATATTCTTTTCCGGATGGAACTGCAATCCGTAGAACGGGAACTGCCTATGTTCCAATGCGGAAATGAATTCCAAGCCATTTTTATCATGATTTAGTGACAATACGTGAAATTCATTGGTTAAATTGACACGGCGTAAATCCTAATAAAGCATAGAAAAGCACTCTATTTAGACTTAATATTACATTAATTTTTTGTATAATTTATGTTGTATAATTGTTTTTCTTAATTTGCATTCTCAACACTAATAATTTTTTTTAGAAAAAGAAAATACCTCTTTCGTGACGCAAAAGTGATGATAATTCGGTGTAACATTTAGTGTTTCCAAAATCCTGAAGACATCTGGTGGCACGTTCTTAAATAAATTGCTTTTTCTAACATCTGAAAAAAATTCACATTTCTTGAACAAACGGGTTCAGACAAAAAAGTAACTTTCGTTAATCTGAAAATAGTTCCGTTAATCAGAATAATTGAGACATATCTTATGGTTTTGGACATGCGTGTTGTTTGGGCTTCTAGTTCTTCTTGTTTTTTTTTATATAAACAATATTTAAAATATTCTTCTATATCTCAAGTAAATCATTACCTATTATTAATTACATTTTGTATCATTTTATAATTTATTATTGATATTACATACGCACGTGCATAGATTTTATTCAATATTCTAAAAGACAAATGAAATTTGTATAGGTAATGAGAATACAGCGCGATATTTGGAGCATGGATCGCAATTATTATCTTATATTAATTATTTTAATTTATTAAACATTAGTTTTTTCAGAACATTTTGGCTCAACTTCGGCAATAACGATGTAGATCAGGCATATCCAATCTAAGGTCCAGAGCCAAGACGCAAAGTCATCGACGCAAAAGAATTCAATGTGGGTAAGATTTTATAGATTAAGCCATTAAAATGTTCATAAGCGTCGTTCAGATGCATATCAACACTTAACAACCTCCGAACGTTACACTCCATATTGTAATAACTATTTACGATTAACTAAAAAAATATTTTTTAAATGAATACTTTTTCGGCAAAAAAAGATTACAATTAATAAACATGATAAAAAAAGATATTTTTATTTTGTTCTTTATTGAGGTATATTCATCATCTTTAATATATATATTTTCATTTTGCAAATGACTGAAACGCTGTCACGTTCTCGTGTATTCTCAACATTCTCGACTTGTCAACAAAAGTAAAAAATTATTGTGAAAAGTATTTACCATCTGTGAATTCTAGTGGAAGAGTCTGATCGTTGCTGGAGCATCGCGTTCTGTGCTTGACGCCATTCGCGGCAACATATGTCAAGAGCTCAAAACCAAGGCAGATACCGAATATTGGGAAGTATTTGCCTTCTGCATTGATGCGCTTCACAATTCTATCACAAACAAATAAAAAATAGTATACATATATTCGAATGATTGGAGACACTTTCAATACATTACTATTGTCCTTTTATTTTATAATTACCTGTAAATCGTCTTGCCTGCATCAGCATATCCATTTCTCTGAGAGAAATCCGCCGATCCTCCTGGCCATAGAACCCTATATAGAAAAAAATTTTGAAACAGTTATACGTACTTAACAGCGTTGAAAGTAGTAAAATATATTATATACCCGTTGGTTTTGCTCAAGATGTCCTCATAGTATGATTTGTCTTTACCAATCCTATAGAAAGTTGTAATATTTTAATTTATTATTATATAATTATTATAATTGTTAAATCAAATAAAATATTAAGATATTTTCTATAGCTATGAATAGAGTTGGGGAAAGTAATCAGCTTGTTTTTTGTAATGAAGTTACTGTTACTTTTTTAAATAACTTAACTTCGTTTCTGTCTCTTTCCTTTTATTTATAATATAACTTAAAGTTCTATTCTGTAACTCTTACTGATAGTCCCGTATGAGAAGGAATTTGAGAAACTGTCACAAGTGAGAATTGTCGATTTGTGAAAAAAAAGTTATAAAAGTAATTTTTTTTAATTTTAGTAAATTTTTTTCAAAAATTGAATTACGTAAGAAAGATCATTTATTCAGTTCAATGAGTATAATGACAAGAGAAGACAACAACTTTTGTGATTACCAAATCGGTATAACTCGAGCGCCGGCACCTTCTACGAATTTCACGTACGATGCAGCGATGTAGCTGTGATACTGATTATCACATATTTCATTTATGGTTTCATTTATCTCCTGCGTCAGGATACCTTAAACGAAAAAGAAGCAAATATTATTGTCAACGATAATCACTTTGAAAAATACTGCTCTTCGAGAAAAATCGATTATTTAGATAAGTTTTAAGCAATTTGAATTCTCAAAATGTCAAAATATTAGAATATATATTCTGAGAAGTTTAGAATAGAGAATTGAAAATAAGAGAAATTAATTTTTTAAAGTCCATACCTCTTTACATCAATTCGTTAATCTAATTATTGAACAATATAAAAATCTCTCTTGTTAGACTGTATATGTGAGAACACGATCACAATAAGAAATAGGAATTAAAGGTCCATAATGGTCAAAGCTGAATCTTTGTACTTAGTAACTTAAGTAATTCAATGTGAATTTTATACACACACACACACACACATACACGATATACATATATATATATAATATATTTGTAGTTATTTTTTAACTACTCCCCGAAATTTAAAAAATGCAGCTAAACTACCGAAATAATATCATAATAAAATTTTTGAGACTCAATAAGCATCTATATTACAGGTCTTAATATAATAAAAATCTATGAATAAATTTATTCATTGTGAAAAATATTCTGGCCGATCAGAGTTGAACCTCAAATTATCATTAAATAAATTCGTTTACATTAAATGACTTCCCCCTCGAATCAATTGTCAATCGGGCGATTTTCGATTAATTTGGCTTAAATCAATCATCAATTGAATTACGCTTAAGGGAATGCTATGGAGTGACCGAATTACCGAGATATTGTAGATTGATAAAAATCTCCGAATTTACTTAACAGACTCAAAAATCCTTTTACAGGATTAAAGTAGACGCAAAATTGGGAGGTGCTGTAGTGAACTTTATACGAAAATCGAAAAAGGATAAAAATTTATATTTTTTTATTTCTCTCGTAAAACTGTTATCTGACGTAGATATTTTTTTAAAAAGTTTTGTAACTTGTATGAGCAAAACCGATAGCACTTAGCATATTATACGTAAACAAACATAATACTGAATTTATAGAACAAAGATTGAAATCTTAACAGAAAAGATTTATATTCATCCCCGCAAAATTACGTCCCTGTGCAAAGATTCAGAATGGTAAACAGAGCAGTTAGTAATTGTGTTTAGCAATAGGTGCTTGATCTTGCAAAAAGATGATGTTGCAATATGTTAGATAAGAACAGAATTATGCATTTAAATAAGTAGAAAGAAACCTGAAAGAGGGAAAATGTGGACATGTCGTGTTGCAGGCTATACGTAAAGTTGGCTCCTTCTACTATTAAAAATATAAAAACGACCATTACCATTCATTTGGTGGTGTTTGGTAGTCCATTCCGGACGTTTGAGTTAAAGATATAACGAAAAATAACAAAAAAGGCGAACACGCGTGAATTGTTTGTCCCCCCCTTATTTCTAAAACTTGGATTTGCAGACTGCACATAAATAATTACTGTAAGCATTTGTTTGATGGTCTCTTACTGACGTTTGGTAATCCATTTCGAAGGTTTGGTAGTCGAAATTATAAATGAAAATATTTAAAAAAAGGATATACGCGCGTTCGTCTTTTTTTGACACTTTTCATTATATCTTTAATGACGAGATAAAGATATACAGTACCTATATAGCGATTTAATAGGTCCAAAATTCTTTCAAAAATGTTTACCGATAATTGGTCGATTGTTCACTGTTTCCGTAGTTTTCATGATTGTAAAGACAAATATAGTAAATAGAAATGTCCATAGAGAGTTCATTATGAAATATATATAACAAAATTGTAATTGTCTTTCTAAAGAAACGATAAGTGAAACAACTATAACACTTTCGCTGTCAACTGTTAGTTGAATGTTACATAACTAGGCATATATAACATATAATAGTTTACTTGATGGTGTGTACATATAGGGTGTGGTACACTTGGCGCAATAAATGCTTCAAAGCTTTTGATTGATTAATCAGAAGAAAGAATTTTATTAAGTGACCAATCGAGATAAGCTTCGAAGCATTCGTAACATTTTTTGATTGGTCAATTATAATAAATAGAACCATAGCCATAAATACTTCAAAGCACTTTTTTATTGATTAATTAGTAAAATTCTTTCTTCCAAATAGTTAATCATATACTTCGGAGTATTTGTAAAGTATCGTACTTTGCCAAAGAGTGTATTGGGGGATTGTTGCTATCAGCGTCATGAGTGCAAACGTTACCAACACTGTTTGTAGAGCTAATTAGAACTCTCTAGATTTACAAAAATAGCGCGATGCTTTTATCTTAAACAATTAGTATTGTATTTAAGTGCCTAGACACAGTATGCTTTCCAACAAGCGACACAATACAACACAGTGATCATTTCATTCTCGTTGGCCAACAATAAAGACGTACTGATACATATTGTGTCACACCGTGTCATCTGTGTCGTTTGTTGGAAGGCCCCCAGAGAATAGTCGACTAAATGTTGATCTTAAAAGTTGACTAAAAGGGTTGACTATTAAAGCCCTAAAGACAATGCGAGGCAATAGCGATAGCGATAAGTTTCAACTTATCAGAAATCGAATACACCGGAATACACATTTTTGATAGGTTGAAACTTATCGCTATCGCTATTCCTTCGCATTGTGTTTAGGGCTTTAGACGTCAAACTGCAACTCGTGCTATATAGGTTCTATGCTATATGATTTTATCGACAGAGTCAGAAAGTGGATGCAGCCACGTAATTCCCAAATCGAAAATGGATGTACTGGCGGTAATGTACGAGCGATTTCGACGGTAACAAAAAGACCGGCATGGCCTCTCTCAGGTTTCTCTTTAAAACTATAGTATGTGATTCATGGATCATTTCTTACACCAGGAAGTTACAAAGAAAAGCACCTTATCTTAAGACTGCGTACAATCAAAGAACAGAAAAAGAGAATAAAAATTTCAGCCAATCAGAAATGATGCCCTATGGAATACACAGTTTCTGATAGGTTGAAATTTTTATTCTGTATTCCTATTCCTCGATTGTGCACAGTTCCTAACTGTAATTTCGCTACAACGAATTACTTTTATTCTCTGCGACATTGTCATACAATATCGGATTCTATAATCAAAATTAATCTTCAATATTGATTATAGAATGTAAAGCATCTATACTTTACAAATGCAAGTCAATATATTGATAATCTATTTTATGCCCGTATTATGTTAATGGTTTGTGCTACTATGGGTTACGTTACGTTTTACGGCCTCTCTACGGTGATTGACAGATTCTTTTACTGCTTACGTTTTATTGGTTTGCGTTCTTTACGTGTAGGAATGAGAGGGAAAAGGGCAGATATAAGTAACATTTCGCGAATTATTATATTCTTTATTGTCTATCGGCAACAAATAAAGTCCAGGATTTGCTCAACTTTAGAAGTGAAATTAATAGGGGATAAAAAAAAATTATTCGGAATTCTCTCTCTTTAACAAGAGCAAGTAATTTTATGATCGGAAGCAATATCCTTTTTCTATATGGAGGGATTATCGTGATGACATTGTACGATATATTCCAAGCGCTGACGTAATCCCATTCCGTCTTCCTCCGTCTCCATCGCCTACATTCTCCAACCTCCCACTTCAAGCCTACAGCATTTTTCTCGCAAGTTGCGTGACCGCGTGACGTCCGGCTAATCGAACAAGAAACAGAGAGAGGATATACGCGATCTTTCCTTCTTCATCTCTTTTACATCCTACTCACTCATTCACTTACTTTCACTCTTCTTTTTCCTTATATACATGCTCATTCCGTTTACTTCTTTCTTTTCCTTTCAATTCATTTATGTATTGCCCATATCTGTTTTATCGGCAATCATCTTGAGCTATATGTTCCAATTAATGCTCACAATGCTCGTGAAATCATATTCCATCCTTGTTGTTTATTATAAACGTTAAACAAGGATGAACAATGCTCGCGAACGTTGCGATCGTTAATGTGGAACGCAGCCTTGGTCATTTATATACGTACCGGTCGCAGCTGTTTCCTTTAGATTTGTTCGCGTCGCGTGCGCCTACATGCTCCAATATGCTCCAAGCATAGTTTCTACTCACTCAAACCCGCTCTTTAGAGTGAGTAGAAGCTATATATGGTAGGAGTATGTTGGAGCATGCGATGCGATGAAACCTTTTATTTAACGTATCTCTTCTCTCGCTCTCATATTCTTTTCGCTATCTCTTTTTATTCGACAAACATACTCCGAGTATACGTTTCATTTGGCGCTCACACATTCGCGACCATATAATTTCTTGTTGTTCAATATTTTTGATAAATAACACCTGTTACATAACAAGAGGGTGAAATGATTCAATGAGCGTTGTGAGCGATTAAGAACACACTCTATGTATAACATACAATTCTCTTTCTCCTTCTTTCCTCTTCCTTTCCTTTCTTTCAAAAGAGGCTCTCATGCAGAACTTCCTGCGCCTATCGCTCCTCTACCAGTCTTCGATCGCCTCAAACTCGCTATACCTTTTCTTCGTGAAATTTAAAATTGCAGCATGTATCTCTCTCACCCTCTCTGTCTCTCTCGCGCGCGATTGATTATTTCCTCTCCGTTCAATGCAATCATTTCACACGTTCGTTTTCTCCCTCGCACACAGTACGATCGTTTTATTTCTGTCTATAACTCAGCCGGTTCTCTCTCCCTTCTCGCTCTCTTCTGCGCGCGCACCTCACGAAGAAGCACGAAGTACCGCGCCGCGAACCGAGCGAGTACGAACGGACTATTCAGGTTCAGTGAGTGCAGTCCAGTTAGTCTCGAATCTCGCGTCAATTGTTCCGGCGTTATTTCCGCGACGCGTTCCTTCGCCGTTTGTTCTCCGTTTGACCTATGGAGAATCGCGTGGGACCAACAGGTGCGGTGCAAGTGTCGTAAATAAGAGGACGGGAAAGAAGTGGTAAACGGGAAGCGAACTTTGAGGAACGAGCAGGAACGCAAGAGATGAAGGATGGATGAAAAATACGCGATCGCGACGCGGACAACTTTATATTTTTTTAAATAATTTTATTTTAATATATTTTTTACTTTGGTTTCCCCACAATATATGTCAAATATTGCTGTACAGCAATACACCTAACACAGTTATTTAAATAGCACTCTACTCTCTGATGAATAAATTAAATTAAAAAAAAAAATAAAATGAGAAATTACCCATAATTTTTCCCCCATAATCGAGATTCTAACTAAGACGACTCTAAGATTCGAACGATTTGAAGGACATTAATCGTGCGCGCAGAGGGTATCATTCGAAATCGTCGTGGCGTTCGAAGGGCGGCCGCACTCGCGTCGCCTGTATAAACGATTCAGCTGATCGAGAGAAGGAGGCTAAATAATTAACTCGTCGCGCCGCCAAGTGTTTTCGGAAGAACGACTAGAGTTGCTCGATCGGGAAACTGATCGTCTCCCGAGTTTACAAGAGAGACGCGCGCGGGTATCGTGAAATTTTCAAGAAGGTGCGATACAGAAGCGGAAGAAAGAGTAGTAATCCTTCTGGGATGTCGACGTACGGAAGGTGGACTCTGTGGCCGGCGAGGACGCGTTTTCGACACTTGACAAAATCATCGGAGATCCATCGTAGCTGAGATCACAACAGATGATCGATCGGACCGATTGATTGCGTTATCGCGCACCTTCATTCGCTGATTCGACACGTTCTTTTTCAACACGTTCGTCCCTAAAGTTGGCGAACGCGCGACAAAAAGAAAGGAATTTCACTCTTAAATTTCGCGACGCAGCGCGAGCAAGCCAAAATTATTTTCAGGAGATTTGGAAAAAAGTGCAGCAGGTAAGAGAATCTTTATTGTAATTTAAAATTTATTATAAATTACTGCCATTTTGCCTCCAGAAACTTAAAGTTAGATTTTGTGATTGAATTAGAGACAGCTTTTCAAAATGTGGGTATTTTTTTAATTGTGAAATTTCTTGAAAATTATGAAAATAATATTAAAGCAATTTTCCCTTCGATATAAATACCGTGTCCAATAAAAAACTCAACTTATCAAGTATTATTCATTATATTTTTAATTTAGAATAAGTAAAAAAATTATACCAACAGAAACTTTGTACTTTTTACTATTACGACAAAAATATTAAAAATCTGAAATGCTTATTTTTTGTATTAAAAAAAAGTTTTTCAAATCTCTTGCATTTTCACTGTATATCCTATAGAAGAGAGATGTACGATTACTTGTAAGTGAGCTGTTTAGTTTATTAAAAAATTACGAATAATCCTTGGAAATAAATCGTAAAATGACGCAATAACTTACAAAATGTGTTTACGAGTAGTATAGAAGTAGAAAGTATAGAATAAGAACGATATATATATATACGAAGTGTAATAGATAATTCTAATCTTTGCACACACATATTACAAATGTTACAATATGAGGTACACATTTTATGTAATGCATTTAATACACTGAATTCAATTTGCGTACTTTGTATGTTTCGGGCATGAATTCCGCTAACTAAAAGTGTTGTATATCCCAAAACAAATGGAATATACGAAATATCACGCTGAACGAAAAATACAAGAATCAAGTAGTCATGTTTTGCTATTTGCTCCATTTTTTACTGTCCTTTTACACTTATATGTCATCTAATAACCATTAAATTAATCTTTTGCCCTCTTCACAGTAATTATTTTATGTAAATTATGATCTTACTATATTGATAAATATTGATAAATTGATTCAATTATAATAGTAGTTTTATTAATATTAATAGTAAAAATTATAATTATGTAACACAAATATTAAAATAACATAAAGACATATAAAACATAGAGTGATTGCAATTACTTCCACTTTTTCTATTTTTTATTCTGATTTCTGTAGTGTACATTTCTGCGCGGTGTTAACTTATATTAATTTAACAAATCATGATGCACTTTGTAATGTGAATATTAGCGATTAACATTACGTTCGTTCGCGATTTGTATCGATATGCTAGATACTTAATTGTGTAATTATGAAAATGTAGGTATATTAAATAAAAAAATCGAAATGCTCAAATATTATAAACCACAAAATTCATTGATTTATAGAATATTTTTATATCGCTTTTATTTTTTTGTTACATCTTTTAAAGTGTTACTTTAGAAAGTATTCTGCAATTGTATATTTTATTAAATTTAAATCAATATTAGACCTAAGTTTTTTTAATTGCAAAAAGATGGCATTATTTCTTCACGTAAACAAATTCTTACGATGATTACGTTGGAGAATATTTAAAATTGACGCTTGCAATGCTGCAGTGATTTCTTTGATTCTCTTAATTATATATACATGTGTGTGTGTGTGTGTGTGTGTGTGTGTGTGTGTGTGTGTGTGTGTGTGTGTGTGTGTGTGTAGTACAATTAAAAAATATACAAAATATAAAATAACATTCTCGATTAAATAAAGCTAAGAAATAATGAGGTTAAATTTCATATTTCTATTAATTTATTAATTTAATTTTAGATTTGATGTACACTATAATATACATATTTTCTCAAAAGTTTAATACTATACAGTGTATTTTAAATAATTATTTCTTCTCAAGCTATACGCCTTTTGTTCTTTTGTTATATAAATTGCCGTCTGATAAAGTCTATTTCTTCAATTTCACGTAAGATTATTTTTATATTTAGCTATTTAGCATATTCTCTGATATAATGAAAATAATTTTGTGAAATTATTAATAGCCTTCTTATGTAAATTATTATAATATTTGAACGATGCGTAATAATTAATTAATTACCGAATAAATACTATCGATTTTGTAACTATTTTACATGTTGAATTTATGTAATGAGAATGAGCTCAAGGCTTCGCTTAGCCGTCCATCGCGCTCATTGCGTTGTGGGCGAGCGTTAACCAAATATATATGCAGATATTAAGACACAGATCTCCGATGAAGTCGGATAAATATTTCAAAGTTATTATATAAATATGGAGAGCAATCTTATAAGATGAGCTTGTGGTATGCAACAAAATAATTATTTTACGTATCATTTATTATGCAAGTCTGTGTGCACATAATAAATATGCACAATTTGTATTGTCAAGTTTCAAAATTTGTACTCATTTTTTCGCGATTATTATACAAAAAATTAATTCATACAATGGTACATACAAGGAGAAAAAATGTAGGTTATTGTCATCATAAAGCCGCAGCATTGAAATCTCCGTAAATTTCTTTGTTTTACGCGCTTTAGAATGTATAGTGTGGTAGGTATCGAAATCTCCGATGATTTTAATACTTCGTACTATATTTCAGTATAGATACCGGTCTTGAAACTATTCATATATTAATTAATCATTTAATTTTTTATTATATTATTACATATTTTATCAATATTGTTATTTGTATTATAATTAATATTATAAGAAAAATATTTATTTGAACTACAACGTTTACAAACAATAAGAATATCAGAATATGAATATATGGGTGAGGAAATATATTAGATTCGTTATATATTTTTGTTAGAAATTATTCAAACTCTAGTAAAAAATTTAGTACGTAAATTATCATTATTTTCTTCGTATTTTTTTTAACGGAGAGAAGAAAATTTGTTGCTGTGGAATTGTTCCCACGTAAATTCCTCGTTAGGCTATTCTTGAATTTTTTAACGTGTTCTCTTCCGTAAATGAGTCGACACTTTAAATCACCTGCAACTGTTTCCGCTGCTAAAACACTTGGGGTGCTACTCGCTTGCCTGTATCGCTTACCGTTAGTTGCCAGCGTCGTTATGTGTGTTGCGCAGCTTTTTTACCATATAAAATATCTGCGCAATGATATATACATAACGATACCAACAACTATCGGTAAGCGATACAGAATAGCATCCCTGTTTACATTCGTTACTCAAATCGTTCAACCCTGTGATATACAATTATTGATATAATACGAGTACATAAAGTATGTGTCCATATTTCTCGACTTTTCAATTTTTTCCACGGCAACCTTCAAAATGGTTTTAATTCACAAAAATTTTAAGAACCGAATTTCAAACTCGACCGGGCAGCGGTAATCCATGCCAATGGCTTGTTAAGATAACTTTTTAGTAAATTGAATTACCATAGAAATATCTAATTTCTTTATATAACAAAGTTGAAATACCGAGAGAGAGAGAGAGAGACACGTTTCTTTAAATAACTGCACGATTCAATATAAATGATGATAAATCTCTAATTTCTTTTGGTTAATCCGCTATATTAACGTATCATTTCATTCTTGTACTTCTCTCGAAAAAATACATGTTACTTTTTTTGAAAGAAATTGTTTTGTTCCCCAATTGCAAGAACTTGCGCACCATAAGGGACACGTCCCTGGTTGCAATCACAGATCTGATCGGTGTACCGCCCCCATCCTTCCAACTGAAAGAAAGGTGGAAGCTGCGGAACTATCTCCACATGTCGATCTCGGTAATAATCTCGGCGGGATCGCGTAAATCACGGAGCTTGTCGCAATACACATTTTTGATGGCGTTAACCATCAAAAAGAACTTGGCGCACGCGCGTGCGAAAATGGTGGCCACACGGTCATAGCCAACCATGGTGGTCCGGTGTTGGTCGAGGTCGACCATCGCCACGGCGCCGCTGCTGCCGCTGACTATCGTATTAAAAAGTGAATGTTGCATCGTGCACTGCTGCCGACACCGACACCACCTCCACCATCACCACCGCCTTCGCGGACAACCATGTCGCTTTCTCGACGGGCTGCAAGCGCCTGCATCCGAACGGACCTCTATTATACTAACCCACCTAAAAACATATCCACTGGCTCTCTCAATACCGAGATTGTCCTTAACCCTCGCTAGTCGCTCGTGGAGACGCATGTGGAGAAACGCCGCGATTATTTTTCTTTTTTTTTTTCACAGTCGCAAATTATTTCAAACTGTTGTTTAGAAAATGAGGTGAGGGAAGAATGCAAGACTATATCTTCATGTTTCAAATTGAATTGTGGGATGGAATGGTGGAATGTTTGGTGTTTTGCATAGGTCTTTTGTATATGTAAATTAGGTAGAGTTAATATAAAGCTAAAGAATACGGGTACAATTGGAAACGAGTTCAAGGTTGACAGAAAGAGCAATGGTTGTAATAAAGAAAGAACAATCCGGTTTTTAGAGTGAAACTGTTCAGTTGTTGTTTTAAGGGAATTCTAAAATCGTCTGTTTCACCAACTAAACGCAATAACTTTTGTATAACAATTATTTTTTTCGCTCTTTTACAGATTCGAAAATCCTTTTCTATAGGATTATTAAGGAGATTCTTGTATTTGATGAAATATAAAATAAGTGTATAATACAAAAGTTAATCATATCAACAATATTAGGGGACAAAATTCATTAATTTAACCATATCTCATTTTGAAGATACTTAATTTTAAATTTATAGAATTTTATGCAAGTTAAAGATTTAATCCGTTGTTCTAGATATTTTCTTTTAAATATAAATATATTTGCATATAAGATAGAAATTAAAAAATCCCCATAGTTATAAAGTAAACCTTTATTTGTTTTTGTAGAATTTTATAAAAATTGACCGTACAAATTTTGAAAGATATTTACATTCTTCTATGAAAAAAGCTGGAATTACATCAAATAAGCATCTTATAAGTATAACATTTATTTTGTTACAAGGATACCTATATCGTAAAGATGTTTTATATATGTTTTCAGTATGTTTGGTATACGTTTTATGTATATCTTAAAAATATACAAAAAATGAAATTTTATTGAGATATAGTGTAAGATGTGTACCGATGATAACGGTACATTCCATGCTTTCGGTATAAGTATCGAATATTAGCATGATACCGTATGCTGTCTGAGTAAATGCAGAAAATGTCTTTCCCTTTCAATATATATCATAATAAAAGAGTTATTAATGTGACACTTGTCTTTGTAATCTTTTACTTTGTGTGTATATAATAAAATATAGATAATATGATAGATATCTACAATATCGAAGTCAGTAATATCTCTTTATAAATTATAAACTCTTAAAAATATTTTGGCTAAACAACTTCAGTTAAAAATCGAGCAATTAGTCAAAAAAGCTATATATTGCAATAATATGAAATATTATGTATGCAAAAAATGCATAGGATATTTCAATAAGTTGAAATGAAACAAACGTATATTTGTTTCACTTCGATTTATTGCACTGTGTGCATCAGTTCAGATATAGTACAGGAATAAAGAACAGACCTAAGATGTGCACGATTGATTGTGCGAATTTTACTTAGTTATTAATAAGATTTTTTTTTTATTTTAGCTATGGACTGGAGAAGGATTGCCCTGGCATTTCTAGTGGTGAGTAAACACAAAAACTATTTCTTTTACAAGAAATTCTGCGTACAAGAAAATTTACATTCAATGAACGAAATATCTTAAGGGGATACTGATGATGGTCAAATTTGATTGATGTTGATTCAATTGGTAGATTTTTTAAATTCTAAATTACAAATGTTGATAGTATATTGATATCTTTAGTCCATTTCTCACATTATTATTCTATCTCACTTAAACGCATTCTTATTTGACAATTTTGGTCTTTTTTGCATGAAATTAAGAACATTGCCTCATAAGAGCCTCTTAGATACTTTATACTCATTTTGAAAGTTTCAACAAAAAATATTGCTCGAAACGATAATAAAGTATATATTGGGGTATGTTAAGTTAGCACCCCAACTATAGTACTCAGGAGTTCTGATTAGTGTTCCCACTTCCTTTTGACGAAACGAAGAGTTCCCTATAGTTAATAACAAGAGTTCCGCTCAATTTTTTTTACATTTTTAAAAAATGGGGTGCTAACTTTTTATCAAAATTTCGAGGTGGAATAGTTCTGAGCGGCTTAATAGCTTCAATTTGCGATTGCTTAGAGTTCCTGATATGTAAAAAAATTTTCGAATAATAAAAAAAAATTAAAAATTTTTGAAAAATTAATTTGTAGATACAATAGTTCTGATGATAATTTCTGCTTCTTTTTGACGATACAAAGAGTTCTCCATGATTTTTAATGGCATATGCGCTTAATAATCATTTTTTAATAATTTTAAAAAAATGGGGTGCTAACTTTTTAACAAAATTCAAGGTCGCATAGTTCTGATCAGCTTAACAGAAGTATTTTGTGAATACCTAGAGTTCTTGATACATAAAAAACATTTTTGAAGAATAATAAAGTTTAAAAAAAATAGTAGAAACCTTTGAAAATTTTTTTGAGAGTACCGAGTAGTTCTGAGTTGCGTTTCTTATAGTACTCGACGAGTTCTATCGAAA